ACGATTACAAGGAGGAGCACAGCTCGCCACTGCTAGCAGCATCAACACACACGAGACTGACTGAAGGAGGGTCGACCGAGGAACTAATTAATTAATTAACATCTTCTTCTTCTTCTTCTCTAATTAAAAACAGCTAATCTTGGCGGGCGTGCGGTACTACGTACGTCGGGGTGAAGGGCGGTAGGGGACATGAACAGCCGAATAGGAGTTGTAGGGTAGAGGTACTACGTGGCCATGGATTAACCTTGTCTTGGTCTTGGACTTGGACTTGGATTGGAGGCAGCGCCGGCCGGCGAGCTCACCGCTGCTGCTACAGGCTCAAGTTGAGGTCCAGCTCCTCCTCGGCATCCTCGCCGTTGTTGTAGTAGTTGCTGCCGCCTCCGGAGGTGAGCGTGGTGGTGGTGCTGGCCGGCGACGGGGTGGTGGCGGCCGCCGAGGCGGTCGGCCCGTGGCAGCCCCGCCTCCAGTTGAGCATGTCGATCAGCTCGTCGCGCCCGGCGCCCGGCTGCTCGGCCGCGGACATCATCGCGCGCTCGCTGCTGCTGCTGACGGCCGCGCCGCCCAGGAGCTGCTGCTGGTACTCGGCGAAGCGGGACACCTGCTGCATGCCGCTGCCGCTGCCGCTGTACAGGTCGCCCGCCGCCGCCGATGTCGGCGCCGCGCCCTGTGGCGGCGCGTAGTACTGGAGCCGGTCGGAGCCGACCATGATGGAGCTGTGGGACGCGATTGGGAACGTCGTGGGCAAGGCCGCGTAGGCACGGCTGGCGTAGGCGTGCGCCGCGCCGCCCGCGGCCACGCCAGGCACGGTGGAGCCCACGCCGCCGCCGCCGCCGCCAGCGCCACAGCCGGCGTAGGGCCCCGAGGCCGTGGCGCCGGACGAGTTGGGCGGCGCGGCATTGGCGTGGAGGTGCGCGGAGGAGGTGGGCGGCATGTAGAAGTAGGGGTTCCAGCCGATGCTGCGCTCCTTCTTGTGCGCGTTCTGGTGGCCGCCGAGCGCCTGCGACTTGAGGAACTTCTTGTTACAGAAGAGGCAGGGGAAGAGGCGCACGTCCTTGCCGTCGGTGCAGGCGCCATCGCCGGCCGCCCCGGCGCCCCCATCGGCCTCGGCGACGGACTGCGCCGCGGGCGCCAGCGTGAGCGAGAGGTCGGTCCGCTTGGGCGGCGGCATCGGCACGGGCACAGGGGGCGAGTCCATGTCCATGTGGCGGCGGCGGCGGCGGCGGGCGACGCGATTAAACAAACGTCGTGGGAAAGGATATGATTATATCCACAAAGGGGGAGAGAGGGAGGGGGAAGCGAGCGGGAGAGCGTGCGTGCACTGGAGTGGAATGTATGGTTTGGCCCAGGAGAAAGGCGAGGGTTTGTTTTTCTATATATGGCAACGACGCAGGAGAAGAGTAGCAGCAGCAGCAGCAGCAGTTTCGTTTAGCTAACCGGGGGCTACCACTCTAGTGTACTACTGTGGCTGGCCGAGTGCGCCATTTCCTTTCTTTCTTTCTTTTGCCCCCTTTCCGCTACTAATAATTTATATGCTCTCAGTCTCAGCCCTACGACTCTCACTTGGAAATGCTAAACTGTAGTACTACCACAAATGCTAAACTGTAGTGGGATTCTGTTTACGGTACCACGTCTAGTATACACACACGCACACACGAGTGGGAGAAAAGAGAGGACTTGGAAAAGGAGGCCAGGCAGCAAGCAACTGGTTGGCTCCGGCCGGTGGCTCGCCAGCGCAGTGGTGGCTAGTCCGTCGCGACGGTGGTGGCGCGAATATATGCTCGCGCCCAGTGGGCGGGGCCCCGGCGTAAATAGGATTGGGCGGCCATGGGAGGCCACGGCCACACGGTGGCGCGCCATTGGGGGGCTGCGTGCGCACTCGTTTGTTTCACGCAGCACGCCATTATTTTATTTTTATTTTTTGGTTGGCGGAGTGAGGTGTGTAGTCCAGCTACAGGAGCAACGCTGCCGCCGCGACAGGGCACAGGAGCCAGGAGGGGGTTCGTCGTCAGTTCAATCCGGACGGACGGAGAAAAGTCTGCGTGATCCGAAAGCGTCTCTCTGTGTGGCACCCTTCGGGCTATCGGTTTCGTGCTATATTTGGAGTTGTCGACAGCCCAGGCCTGCCCACCCGACTAGTGCAACCATAACTCGAACTGGAATGCAGGAATTCAAAAGGAGGGAATGGGGTTTACTCCACTCATCTTTCGGTACGGAACTCATAAAAAGAAGGATCCCGTGCTGCTCGTTAGCATCAAGTCCTCCTCGTAATTAAGGCACTAAACGAACAAGTCCGCCGCTAACCCGCGTGCCCACCCAGTTCAGGAGTAGTTGGTTTGCAGAGCAAGGACGTACTTCCACGTCTCAGTAAAGCGCATTACAGACAGAGCAACTTAAACAAACACTCCCTCTGCAACTTCTTAATATTAGACGTACCATAGTGTCAAAAACCGTCTTATATTAAGTTACAGACGGAGAGCAACGAACTTAGTATGATGATCTCCACCAGACGGATCCAAACAACAACGAGTTACTGGTAGATAAAGCATACCGTACGTATTTATCTCTGTTGCGGAACATGGCCGGCAAAGTATAGTAGCAATAGTATTGATTTATCATCAGTGGCTGCATGCAGTCCAGCCATGTGCCACTTTCCACTTCTAGAGAAGGAACCAACGTCTAGTCTAGTTTCAAGTCATTGATACCGCCACTTTCCCCACCCTAAACAGCGATGGTCACATGTAGTAGATGTAGCAGCTCCCATTAAACTAAACTAGTGAGTGTCACCGCGGCGACCCGGCCTGATGTTGCTACCCCCTTGAACCGTGACAGAGGAAAAAACAAGGGCAGCTGGTGCAGCAGCGACACGTTTTTTCTCACCCTCACCTCACCTCACAGAGATCTGGTTGGATCCGTCGCGCTGTCACGTCCGCCTCACGCTTTTGTCCAAAACAGGGACGCGCCCGTCGAGTTTCCGTCCGGAAAGGACAGGTTTCCAACTCATCAAAGTGAATGTGAATTTCTTCTTGTGTATGGGCGAATTTTGGTTTTTGGCGTTCCGGAAAGTGGACGTGGAGAGATTGTAACCAGGCCCATCTGGCCATCTCACCCTCACCTCACGTCTCACTGGCTCAACTGGTCCTTGGAACTTGCTGTCCGTAATAAACTAACTGCTAGTGTCTCATTCACAGCTAGCTAGCTTTCCATGCTCGGGATACGTGAACTGTATTGTTACGGTAAAAAGAAACTGACAAGTTCTTGTGAATACTCTCTCTCTCTCTCTCTCTCTCTCTGCCGGTTTCAAAGTAGGAGTAGTACTTGTCCATGATCGGATCATCAACAGCAGGAGGTAGGCCGCACCGCGCACTGTGAGAAGTGAGAAGAAATGGCAGGAGAGCTGGAGTCCGGGCGAAGAAAAGTCGACGGAGAGAGGGAGAGGAAAAGACTAGCGACGTGACCTACTAACCCCAATCAGCACGGACGGTGAGGGAGAAGCGAGCGAGACATGGCCGGGAAACAAACGAGTTACCTCATCCGGGTCGAAAAGATGAGACGGAAAGGCTAGCTAGCTGCACCGGGCGCCCCCGTATGAACATGGCGACTACTCGTACTACCCGTCATCACATCAAACAACAAATATGGTAAAAGCCACACTACCACTAGTAGCAACATCGCACAATTTGATCACCCATCTACCGCTCGGAGAAAGAGAGAGAGAGAGAGAGCGCGCGCCACACAGGTGGGGCCGCATGCACAGTGGATGCCCCAAGCACTGCGTAACTAAACACGAATCGACGCGCGAAAAGCCAGAAAGCGAGACAGAACAAGACGCGGGTACAGTCCGGCAGTACTACGAGCTCGTCGATGGAGGGACAGACACGCATCACCACTACCCAGCCCAGCCCAGCCCAGCCAGCAGCGACGCGACGAGATATTTACGAGCTTCGCACGGGGTGATGTGAGTTCGGGAGCGTGTATGTGATGGCCTAGTGGGCGAGGAGGCCCTCTGGCCGCTGGTGGGCACAGCGGCGCAGGCAACACGGGAGGCGGCCAGTGGGGAAGAGACACGTCGGAGGAACGGGGACGCCGTGTGCCCTGGTGCGCGCAGAAGAACTGGGATGGCATCTTGCGCGGCTGGGCTAGTTGGTGAGGCAGAGGCGGGGCTGAGACCGAGACCGAGAGGGACGGTGGCAGAGGTGACCCACTGGCGGAAGCCCCGGCAAGCGGAGGAGGGGGAGTTTATGGGCGGCAGAGCCCACCGGGTTTGTCCCGTTGCGCTCCATGGCCACCATTTTCTCGCTCTAGTTCCAGGTGGTCCTTTTTTCCTGTGGCATGGCAGCGGGGAGGACGACGACAAAGGTGGTGGTGCCCAGCCCAACCGGACATGGCATGGGCAACGGGGCTGCGCCCAGGACGCTTCGCTTGCTTGGCGCCATGGGGTAAAAATACTAAGAGCACCCCAACAGCCGCGCTAAACTAACGCCGCGCCGTATAATAGGTCGTTTTAGCGCGCGCGCAACGCGTCAGGGCGCTTCAGCGGGCGCGCAAAAACGGCGCGCGCGCTAAAACGGGTTGGACGCGCGGTCAAAAACACTTACCCGCGCGGCGTATTTTGGGCGCCCACTACAGCGCGCGGCACACTCGAGTGCTCGCGCCCGCTCTTCCTCTCACGCTTCCACCCCCGACCGGCCGCGCCGCCGCCGCCGCCCGCGCACCCCGGCAACCGTCTCAGGCTTCCCCGGCCTATCCCCGCGCGCCCGCGCTTCCGCCCATCCCCTCCTAGTACCGCCGGCGCCCGCGGAGGGCTGAAAGAGTAGCCCGTTTTGTTGCCTCCTATCATGCCATTCGGCGTCCCGCAACGCACAAGGAACTTCAGAATGATCTAATTGAAGAGTGGTGGGCATGGCATGGACGGCAAAGAGCATGATGCTATCTGCACTCGACATTGTATTGTTCATGAACTATTTGTTGTGTTGTAATAATTTATTTTGAACTATTTGTTGTTGTACTGAACGATAAACTATTTGTTTGAGTTGTAATGATTTATTTTGAACTATTTGTTATTGATTTTTATTTTGTTTGTTTGATCATTTTTGCTCATCTTCTTTGAAATGTACATGTGGTTTGTGCGGCGCGCGCGCTGTATTTTTGCGCCATGCTGAAGCGGCGCGCGCACGCTGCATTATAGCGCCGCTGCTGGAGCCAGCGCAGGCGGGCGCGCAAAACCAGCCGCAGCGCGCGCGCTAACAGGTTTTTTGCGCGCGGCACTTTAGCGCGGCCGTTGGAGATGCTCTAAGCCGTAGCCTACTCAGATCCGCCAGAGGGAGGTGTCAGCTTGGGCATTGCAGGGTGGAGTGTCTGGTTGGCCTAGATAATCAACCGCCGAGCCCTTTTCTTTTTACACATACACTGGCTGTGGATGAGGCTGCTGCTGATCAATGAAACCGATGCACAGGGAGTTGCTCCCTCCGTTCCTAAATGCTTATAAGCCTTTTCAGAGATTCTAATACATACCACATACGGACCAAAATGAGTGCATCTACATTATAAAATGTGTCTACATACATCCATATATAATCCGTATTGAAGTCTCTAAAAGGTTTTATATTTAGAAACGGAGGGAGTATTATAAAAAGAAAAAAGAGGAGTTGCTACTTAATTAGTCCACGTGTTGACACTGTGACCAGTTGTCGGGCAGATGATTATTGGTAAGTACTAGTACTGGTAAAAGCAAAGAACTTTTATTACTACTCTGTCAAAGTTCATTACCAAGAGTACGGACATACTTGCAGCAGAGGAAAACAGCTCCGTGCGTCTGCTAGTACGAAGTAACAGTAATATTTATTGACATCTCCACATTCAGAGAGATAAAATCAAATACTCTCTCTGTCTGAAAATACTTGTCATCAAAATGGATAAAAAAAGATGTATCTAGAACTAAAATACGTCTAGATACATTCCCTTTATCGACGGAGGGAGTACTATATAGTGTAACTAGGATAGATGGCTTGACTGGGAAACTTTCTTTGTTGACATCATAGTCCCCATTACTCTTTCAGAAAGATGCTACTACTACTGTGTACGCAATCTGTCTCGAGGGAACTCTACCAACAGAGAGCGCATTGACTATTGGGAAAGGAAAAAGTCCAAAACAAACCTTGAAATTGTAGGCAAAAGCTAAATCAAACCCCAAATTCTTAATCCCTGAAATCAGCACACCGAACTCTATAATCCCGGTCTATTTTAAACCTTGGGAGGACTCGGCCGGTATTTGCTGAATTGGGCCGGCCCAGTAGCGCAGTCGCTCATGCGCGTGCACTAGTCTATTTTTCTTTTATGTTTTCTTTTTCGTTTTTTCATTTTTACAATTGCCTAATTTTTCTCAGTACCCAATGTACATTTTAAACGCAGACATTAAATATTTTTTGATAAATTTTTGATATTTTCAAATACGTTATGGACATTTTGAAATTAAATGTTTTCAAAAAAATTTGAATACATGGTAATATTTTTCGAAATACATGTTTTACATTTTCTTAATGACAATACACATTTTACAAAACTACACAAACACTCTTTTACATGGTTCAACATGTTTAAATTCGCAAACACTTTTTTCTATACATCTCACGTATATTCTGTTGAGGTTATGACACATTTTTGTACAACACGCAAACATTTTCGATACATTGTACATACTTTTTTTGAAAATGCCACAAACACATTTTCTGAAACTCGCGAACATTCTTGAAATGTTACATTTTTTAGAATGTACGAAACCTTTTTTTTTGCATCACACAAGTATTATTATACATTGTATAAACATTGTTTGAATTGGCCCATACATTTTTTTTAGAATTTGTGGTATTTTCTAGATGTCACAAACTCAGAAAATGTTTATGTATCAAAAAGTGTTCGCACTTTAAAATTTTGTTCAGGTTTCAGAAAAAAATTATGGTTCAAAAAGTGTTTGCACTTTAAATTTTCGTTCAGGTTTCAAAAAATGTTGATGTTTCAAAAGGTGTTGGCTTTTTCAAAGTTGTTGGTTTTTAAAATTATTCGAAAATTTTAAAAAGTTCTCGCACTTCATGAAATGTTCAAAGATTTAAAAAAAACTAAACATTTTTTAAAAACATTATTTACAAATGCGAATAGAATTTTAAAATGCGAATAGAATTTTAAAATGCCAAACATTTTTTAAAAAACACAAAATGAATTTAATTTTCGCCGAAAATAGAAAACAGGAACATTTTTTGACTCGCGAACAATTTTAAACATGCGCGAACATTTTTGAAACTTCATGAATTCTTGTTGTGTTGTAGTGGGCCGGCCCAAATTCTTATCCGTGAGAGTAGTAGTTATCCCGGCTGGGATTGTACTATTCCCAGTTTGCCAAACAGGTCTAGGGCCCAAAATAGACCGGGATTGCAAGTTCAGAGTGTCAATTTCCGGGATTCAAAGTTTGCGGTTTGATTTAGCTTTCGTCTATAACTTCAAGGTTTATTTTGGACTTTTTCCATTGGGAAAACGAGACCTGGCCGTGCCAAAGCACTCTCCCAGAGCAGCGCACTGAGTGCACGTAACAAACAAAGAACAAATGGAGAAAGGAGGGGGCCAAACCGAATGAATAGACAGCGAACAAATAAACAGCAAATCTTTCCCAGTAAAGCTTTGGGTTCGTAGTGGAGGCGGGGAGAGGGGCATCTCAGATCTGCGCCCCGGGGCTAAGGGGGATAGGGGACCGCGAGATCGCTGAGGGAAACCGACCTGTAGTGTCAGGTACCATGGCCGGCCAAAGCCTTTGATGAGTGGCAAACAATCGGCACATGTAATGGCGCCAGCCATTCCTGCAGTTGAACTGGCGTGGCACCAGCCACCACCGCTCCCCAGGACCACGCACGCCAAAAAGGACAGGACAGCCGCGATTACTACTCCTGTGTGCTAACCAATCTCTGGAGATTCCACCCTCGCGTCGACGAGCTCGTACTACTACTGCAGAATACAGGAACCATGTGCAACTTCCGTGGCCTGGAGCGGATAGCGCTCTCTAGGGTCAGCCTTAATTTGTTCCTGTTCTTTAATAGCTGGGTCCTAAGTGTATGGCACAGTGGGTGTGAGTAATAAGTTGCCTCTACAGAGAACAATTGTCCCGGCCTCTCTGCCTCACTTGATGAGTGAGTCCTGTCATAGGTTGGGCTGTATTTAGTTGTAGTAGAGTACAGGGTCCAGGGTCTAACTTTAAATAGCATCCTATCTAACTCCATCTCAAACTCCAGAAATATCTCGTGGCAAGTATTCAAAGGAACACCCTCAAAAAAAAAGTATTCAAAGGAAACAGCAACATAAAGATCAAGTAGTACCATTTTAGAGAGAAAAAGAGATAACATGAACATGGAGTTGATATTGAACTGCAAGTGCAAGGCATGCTGATGAACATGGCATAATGGCTTTCTCTTGTTCACAAAAGTGGAAATGCCTAAAGCAGATAGTACAGGTTCGACAGTCACACAGCAACCAGGATAGACACAAGATATCAAAAGCAAATCCCGTCTGCTGGAACTAAATAGTGGCAGGTCTGCAAGTGGCATCGGCGAGAGAGCGTACCTAAGCAACAAGTGGCAAAGGTCACTTGTCCAAGTTTCGTACAGCATGTCCGCGTCAGTTCAATCGAGTTCACAGGGGCACCTGCTATCAGTATCTCCTGCTGTTCCATGAGCCCAAAGTAGAAGACGACTTGACATTGCTGGCGACGGCACCACCACCACCACCACCACTGTTTGCAACAGGGCAATCGCGGGACCAGTGACCAGCCTTACCACACTTGAAACACCCATCAGATGAGGTTGCTGAACTTAATGTCCTACCGCCTTTGTCAGAGTAAGGATCCGAAGATTGATTCGGGCAGTCCTTCGCCCAGTGGTTCTCTTGCCCGCATTTGAAGCAGCCCGAAGAGCTCTTGCTCATGCTTTGGTTGGTGGGGGTAGCGCCAGCTTGATATGGTGATGAACCACCTTGCAGTGGAGCAGCTGTCCTAGGCTGCTGCTGATCGTCACACCATTTGAAAAAGCCACAAGAGCTACCTCCCTGAGAGATTTGTCCCCGGTCAAACACCAAGAGAAAGACATGAAATGCCCGAGTTATCAGGAGTGATACAACAATTATCATCAAAATAAAGTAAAGGGTGAAGGGAACAAGGAATATCATGGATTATTAAATCATAGGTAATGGCATCCTAGCATCAGTTGCTATCCAGAAAGATGCAGATAGCAAAAAAAAAATGCTCCACTACGACAAAAAGATCTACTGCATATAGGAACTGCCCTAATATCTCTTTAAGCAGATTTTGTTCACCAGCAGATCATTTCGGGTAATTTCGAATCATGAGAATAAAATAAAGAGCTACATAGGCAACAAGCACATGCTGTTATTGTTTTAACATATTAGCACAATGCCATTTTTTACACAAACAATAAAGAATAAGGATATTTATTTGGCTACCAGTTGCATTGCATGACAGGTTGTGGAAAGAGTGTTCCAGATACCATGAAAGAAAAACACTTCAGCCATCCATACCCAGTTAAACGATATCAGGCCAATTTAAGATTTGGAAAGCGTATTCCAGATACCACGAAATAAAGCATGTCAGCCATGCATATCCGGTTAAATGATATCATGCCGATTTAAGATGGTACAGAAACCACTTCCTTGTGATTGAGAATAATTGAGTTGAAACCAAATGACTTAGTTGCTCAGTCATAAGAGCAAAAAGGTAACAAGATATGAAGATATGAACCGCATTAAAACATGAATCTGTTCTGTTGACAACTAAATCTTAACTCATAACTGCACTCTGCAACTGTGACCATCACACTGTCAACATCTTCTATTGGAAAAATATGGAATATGCGGATGATATGATAGTCATGAATCACGGGCACAAGATAAAGAGTTATAAATGCCCAGGTAACTATCCACGTCAACACAGCAACTTCCAACTGTAAGAATTGGTACAAATGATATCTTAAGTAGATGACATGCTTTGTGGCTTAATACTAATTAGCAGGAGAAAACAAGCACCAAGTGTTCAGTACAACTTGATATTAAAAATTACTGTACATGTCACATTAGATAAAAAGCATGACATTAATGTAACACGTCCGCAGCATAATAGGGATACAGTAAAATATCAAGCACACAACCATGTAATCAAAGAAAGAAAGAAATTAAGGTTGGGCATAAAATGTCCAGATGAATGAACCTGAGCTGGGCACCGATAAAACTGCCTCCCAACATTAACTCCCGCCTTTGTCGTGAGAATTAAGCATGTTCCAGCACCACAAGAACAAGGCATATTCACAATTGATGCATCTGACTGAAAGCTTGTGCTGCTGCGAGCATTAGCAGCGCCTGGAGATGGAGCATCACACCACTCAAAGAAGTTGCAACCTCCATTGTCCTTATGGTAAAAAATAACATCAGCACCACAGGTACATTAAAATAAGAGAAACAAAAGGAGACAAGAAATAGCCTTCTTTCTTCACTACGGAATGAAATCTCCAATTTGGGTTAGCCGAATGTACATGCATACACATATACATCAGCTAACAGAACGGCCCTTATTGATTTGCACATTCCGAGATTAAATTAGACATTTGCAACATGACAATCATAACTCTGAAGGTGAAGGCAAACGAACATACTCAAGAAATGCTGGAGGTTGATTATGGACTAAGGGCAACAGACACACATTACACATGCATGACTGCAAATTTGGCCAAAGAAAACTCAAACAACAGGCTCACTTCACGCATTTATCCAACAATTTCTCAAGTATGATGTGCATCTAATGTTCATAAAATAAATGCCGGAGAGTCAGTGCAGCCAGTGGAAAGGTTTGGTCTACCAGATTCAGCAGACAGCTCAGGGATATGCAGAAGAAAAACCAACCAGAAACTCTGGATCAGGGACAGTTCAACCGGAGCAATGGCAGGCGCAGGATGGGGATCTCTTGAAAATCAACGGCGCTTTCAGTGCGGCAAATGGCAGAGGAGGCTGGGGATTCATGATTCGGGACCGACTGGGGACAGTTAGAGGTTACGGAGCTGGGTCTATTCCTCGGCTGGCAAGTGCACTACAGGCGGATGCGCATGCGTGTACTGAAGCTTTGAAAGCTGCAGTGGACTGGGGAATGACAAACATCATACTGTAGGCGGACAGCAGGAATCTCATCCAGGCGATGCAATCCACCGATTTTGATCTGATATATGAGGGTATTATCTTTATAGATTTGCATGTGTTTGCTAGACTTAATTTTACCACGGTTTCATACTCTTGTGTGCCTAGAGGTTGTATTAACCTAGCTCATGACCTCGCTGCTGTCGAGGCATGTGGAAACAATCCCAGGTTTCTGTGGTTAGAGAACCTGCCACCTGATGTAAGCTACGTTGAGGGCCAACACGTTTGTTGTGCCTGAGTGATAAACTGATAATGGAATTGGTGTTCCAGCTCAAAAAAAAAAGGTTCCACGCATCAGGATTTCATTTGTACTTTATAAGACTTAGTTTCTAGCACTGCTGGTGGCCTAAACCTTGCATATTTTACTTTTCTTTAATAGGTTAACTAATTGATACTTATTTTAAAAAGCAAAACAGAAAGAATTTAAGATACTCTGTAAAATGCCTTAGCGAACTGGATGCTAGAGTTAGGGACTGAAATGCCAATGGAATTGCCCCAATACAACAGAAATGGCGGAAGTTAACCTAAGGCAGAGACAAGGGCAATCAGACCGGAATCATTCAGATATCACTTATTCCATATCCTATTCCAAGGTCTTTTGGGGAAAGTGTTTGGGAAAGATAGTGCAAGAAAAGAATACCTAAGCTGAATGCACCAGTAACAAATATAGATCAAATTTAGTAAACTAATGAATATTCAGTCAGATATCAGGTGAAAATGGTGTTACACATATAACACTATTGCTAAAAAAATCCATTTAACATTGATAAACCACCGTACATGTCCAAAATACAGCAATACAGTTCAGAAGCCACGACTCAGAATCACATAACAGAGGCAGACAAACTTGAAGACTAAGGTAATCAAAATGGATGTAATATTTGCCTAGCCCGGGTAGAGGAGATGCATTTTAAAATATCAGAATAATGACTATATGTAGCTTTCGGAGACGGATTATTTGGACAGCCCAATGAAATACTCAAATATTTGGTTTTGAACTACAGAGATACGCCACATGATAGACAAGCATTTAAAAGCTACAGAGATACGCCACATGAAAGAGGCCTCGCATTTGTCAATGATATTTGGTTTTGAACTTAAAAGCGAAAACCTAAAATATGCAAGTCAAAGGTTAGGCAATTGACAAGGTGCAACAACAAAAATGAAGCTGAAAACAAATTATGCCTATATATCCACCTAAGAATAGGAACACATCTTATATAGCCCATCAAGCGGCCATGACAACACTAATCACGCAGCACATAAAAGTTAATTGACTGCTGCTGAAGGTCTGATCCTAACACGCCACCGAAATTGAATGAAACAGATGTACTACAGCTTCTTGCAATAATCATATTGGTACTCAGCAAAAAACACAGAAAGGATGTTCTTCTAAACCAAACTACAGTGGGCATCAAGTTGGCCACCGCGCCATACTACTAACTGGGAAAAAACAACCACGTTTGCAAAACGAACTTCTCCAAATTCTATAAGAAGCAACTCAGTAGGCCACACTGCCAGAATACTACTATCTTTGATCAACCAGCATGGATAAATTTTTGTAGGATGATATGGATCATAACATCTAAACAATGTTTTATTTCTTAGTAAATGCGAGACAAGATGAATGCAACATTATTACACAGTGGTGAAGCTAGAACTCAATAGCAGGAGAAGTAAAGATTTCTGGTGAACAATGGTAAGCACATCGGAATTGATCAATGGTAAAACTATAAACTGTACTAAATGCGAGCGAACTTGGTTTTGGAACAAACCATACATGCAATTGATTTTGTAACAAACAATACTGTTACATCTCCAGACGACCATTGCACTTGGTTCAAGTTCACTATTAACGATTTTTGAGTTCTGGGCTAGCTCAGGGAATCCAAATCACAAGACCACATGGGCACATTGCATTACAAGTACAACTCTCCGAAATGCACAAGGTAACAGGATGATGCGATTTAACAATGAGGGCTGATACTCACCCGCGTGGGACACCTGTAGAACTTGCGGCCGGGGTTTCTGGGCGTGCTGGAGGTGAGCACAAGGCAGATCCCAGCGCCGCAGGGGCACGCCTTCTCCTCCACCTCCCCGCCCGCATCCACATAGCCGCCGCCACCGCCGCCGATTCCGCCTCCTACGCCGCCCCCACCGCCGCCGATTCCGCCTCCTACGCCGCCGACACTTGCCTGCAAGGATTGGGGGCACTCTCTCGCCCAGTGGCTGGTGTCCCCGCACTTGAAGCACGCGCCCTTGGTGATCTGTACGCCGCCGCCAGGGGAGACGCCTGGGACCTTGGAGCCGCCGGGCCGCTTGTGGGCGAGGGTTAGGGTTTCCTGCTGCTGCTTCCAGGCGGCGCTGTGGCTGCCCTTGAGCGCGGACAGGTAGGACCCCTCGGAGGCGGCGGGGGTCGGCGACGGGGAGGTGGAGAGGCGGGGGCGCTTGGAGGACGCGTTCGCCGCGGCCTCCGCTGCCTCGGCGGCGAGGAGGAAGGCCTCGTCGTCGAGGTCGTCGAGCAGCGACATGGTCGAGGCGGGGCGGTTGGGGGTGAGGAGGGCGGTGTGGTTTGAGGATTTGGGGAGGGTTTCGTGCGGGAGTTTTCGAGTTTTTCTGCCGCGGAAGACGAAGCGAAATGTTTATTTTTAGGCAAAGACGAAGCAAAATGGTGCGGCGAACGCGGGGATGCTCTCTTCCTCTTCTCTTGTCGTGCGTGGGCCGCAGCAGAAGTAGTTGGTGTGGGCTGGATAGCCGGGAGGTCCAGTCGGCGCTGTAGGCGCCCGTTGGACAAGTGGCGCCTACCGCGCCCAGGAGCGGGCCGCGGCCCAATTAAAACATCGCTCACTATCTGCTCTTAAAAACTGATTCTCGAAAGAAAAATCTGCTCTCAAATACAGCAGTAAAAAAAACTATCATACTCCTGCAGCGATTGGTGAGTGCTGGGGTTCGAACTCCGAGCGCGAGGTTTGATAGCAGCCCCTCATAACCACCTGTTCATTATCATTCCGTTGACAACAAATAGGAAAAACATCTCTTTGACCCTTTCTATAGTTAACACATATTATAAATATCCAGTGTAAATTATTTTAAAAAGAGAAGTATAAATTCGAAACAGAATTCTATAAAAATACCGAAAACCGGTACGAATTTGAGAAAAAGGTTCATAGAAATTCAAAAGAGTCCATCGCTTTAAAAAAAGTTCATCATCTCGAGAAAAAGTTCATAAATTTTTAAAAAGTTCATCGATTTTGAAAACAAATTCGAAAATTTCGAAAAAAGTTCATAGATTTTGAAAAGAGTTCATTGACTTAAAAAATAAGTTCATCAAATTTGAAAAAAAGTTCATCATCTCGAGAAAAAGTACACAAAATTTTAAAAAGTTCAACAATTTTGAAAACAAAACTTAAATTTCAAAAAAGAGTTCATCGTTTCTGAAAAAAGTTCATTGACTTAAAAAATAAGTTCATCAAATTTGGAAAAAAGTACATCAAATTTGAAAAAAGTTCATCTATTTTTAAAAAAAGTTCATTGAAACTGAAAAGAGTTCATGGTTTTTCAAAAAAAATTGAAAAGTTCATAGAATTTGAAAAAAGTTCATCAAATTTTGAAAAAAGTTCATTGACTTGAATAAAAAAGCAGTCAATTTTGAGAAAAAAGTTCATCCATTTTAAGAAAAGTTCACTAATTTGAAAGAAACCATCAAACCAGGAAAGAAAAAAAAAAGGGGAAAACAGAAACAGAAAAAAGGAAAAAGGGAAAAAAGGCAAGAAGAAATAAGAAAATTGGGAAGAAGAAGATATCACATTGTGTATGTTGGCGCGGTGGTTATTGCCGCGTGGTTCGATCCAAGACGTCCTGAGTTCGATTCTCATCACGCGCGCATGTACTTTTTTTTGGAAAAACGGGGCGCGATATGGGCCGGCCCGCGAGTAGCTGCTGCAGGCGCCGGTTACCAAAAACAGTAGGAACCGGCGCCTGCAGCGCCAAATAGGAAATCCCTGGATAGCCGTATGTGCAGTATACTTTTTTTTTAGAACCGCCCTCTAAGGGGGAATTCCTAGGGAAATCCTATTTGGCGCTGCAGGCGCCCGTTTATGCGTATTTTGCAAACGGGCGCCTGCAGCCAACCAAGCTGGGCCGGCCCATCTCACCCTGTTCTCTTTCTGTATTGTAGACAGCAAAAAAGAGCTATCCCCGCGGAGGATCGAAATAGGCACCTCTACTTTCGAGCTAACGGAGACAAACCACCACGCCACCATGCCCAACGTGGTGACTACCATCCTCTTAAATTTTTTCTTCGTTTAACTTTCCTTTTTTTTTCCTTTTCCTTTTTCAGTTTATGTTTTTCGTTTTTTTCTTTTCTTCTTCCTGGCTCAATGATTTTTTTTATAATTCTTGAACTTTTTCTTCATATTGATGAACTTTTTTTTCAAATGCGCTGAACTTTTTTCAGATTCGATGAACTTTTTTCATATTTAATGAACTTATTTTTTCAAATTCGATGAACCTTTTTCATATTCGATGAACTTTTTTTTCAAATTTACTGAACTTTTTTTCAAATTCGATGAACTTTTTTCAGATTTAATGATTTTTTTTAAATTTGATGAACTTTTTTCATATTCGATGAACTTTTTTTCAAATTCAACAAACATTTTATTAATTTGATGAACTTTTTTTTCAAATTGATGAACTTTTTTCAATTTCGTAGTTTTTTTTTATAATCCATGAACATTTATTTTTCAATTTGCATGGACTATTTTTCAAAATCGATGAACTTTTTTCATATTGATGAACTTTTCTTCAAAAATGATACCTTTTCCAAATCCATGAACCTTTTCTTATCACAAATTGTTTTCCAAATATTTGAAGGATACAGTAGATGGTTATCTGCAACAAATAGCGCTGCGGCAGTTTTATTAGGTATTTCAGACCGTTACAAATCGCTCAATGCTGTTAGCTCCAGTGGTTAGCGAGCTCGAAGGTGGAATGAAGGTCGTGAGTTCGATTCGTATATCTGACAATTCTTTTGGGATTTTTCCATGCGAGTTCGCTGGCCGACGCGCTTTCGTGGGCCGGCCCAACATGCAGGGCGCGTGGGCGCCGGATCTCCTAGCCGGCGCTTAAGGCGCGGCGCTTAAGGCGCCGACTAGGAGCTCCCGAATTCCTATGTGACGCTCTTTGCGTCAAAGAGTTCATGTTTCGCACAGGGTTTAGCTCACCTGGGCCGACCCATTTAGCGTTCGCACGGTGGAAAACACGAAAAAAAATTAGCACTCGCGCTGGAATTCGATAACTTGACCTCGTAACAAAGAGCAACCTGAGCTAGCCAGTGCATCAGATTAGCTTTTGTGGTAAACCTCCAGCGCAACGCTAAAAGAACTAAACTACAGCGCTAAAAAGTTAAACATCTGTGAAAAAAATCCCAAAAACGAACTTACACGTGAGGATCGAACAGACGACCTCGTACAACTAAACCAGGTCACTAGCGACCCTCGAACGTTTCACGAAAATAGGAACATTTTTGGGGATTCTCAAGCATTTTTCTAAAAAAAAGAAATTGTAAACAATACCATTTTTTGAAATTAAGACCAAATTCTAAAAAAACAAACATTTTCTGAAAACAGGAACAAAAAATTGAAATGAATTAGAAATTACGAACAATTTTTACAAAGCATGAACAATTTTGAAATTGCCCGAGCATTTTTTGAATTTTTGAACAAAAATTGGAAACATGAAAATTTCTGAATTTGTGAAGAAATTTGGAAAGCTGGAACATTTTTGGTAATTCCTGAACATTTTTTGAATTTCTGAAGAAAAACTGAATATATTTTAAAATTCTCCACACATTATTCGAATTTGGGAACAAATATTCATAAAAATGAACATTTTTTAATTTGTGAATAAAATTTGAAAGTACGAACATTTTTTAAAATTTCCCAACATTATTCAAGTTTGGAAACAATTTTCAGAAAAATGAACATTTTTTTAAATTTGTGAACAAAATTTGAAAGTATGAACATTTTTAAAATTTCCTAACATTATTTGAATTTATGAACAAATTTTCCAAACAAGAGCATTTTTTAAATTCACAAAACTTAACGAACTTTGAGAAAAAAATTAAAATGCAAACATTTAAAAAATTTCTGAACAATTATTGAAAAGGAAGAATAAATTTGAAAACCAAAATAAAAGAAGAAAGGAAAGGAGAAAGAGAAACAAGAAAAAAACGAAAATGAAAAACGAATCAAGAAAAGGAGAGAAAAAAGAAACAGAAAAGACCGGTTCGGGAACCTTCTAGAAGGTTGCCAAAACCGGAAAAACCGCCTGGAACCGTCCAGAAGGTTCCCAAAACCAGGAACCGTTGAACGCACACTTTGGTTCTAAACGGGCTGGCCCGTGTTGGTTGATCACTTCGATCGCGTGTGTGCGGCGCGCCGACATTTTGACGCAGAATGCGTCAAATAGGGGAAACCCCTCTAAGGCACTTCATTCAATTATTATGCGACGGTTTACATCCGATTGCACTATGGCAATCAAAAAAGCAGGAAATAAATCATAAGATTTACATTCGAGGAACTCTTAAGGCCCTCCTGAGCACACCAATGAGCAGCCTTATTGGCCTCTCTCCTTGCGTAGCTGACACATAGCCCTTGAAAATTTTGAGATAAGATTTGATTTTGCTGATTACCGGCCTCCCCATCGACCAGCACCTCATCGCCAACCATTCCTCCGTGACAGTTTGGCAATCCGTTTCGACGTAACCCGCGTCCAGCCCTTCTCCATAGCTAGACGCACAGCTTCTGTAACATCTCAATTTTCAATTTGGATGTTATACATAGATCATTCATATGCATTTCATATTTTATTGCATTTGGTTGTGATCCAAGAAATCTTAAGCAACTCAAGGACCCAAGGAGAGAGTTGGAGGTTTCATAAAATGTTCATTTTTGAATTTATTTCAAATTTGAAAAGTGGATCAATTTGATTTTCAGCAATTTCATTCCAATTATTTCCAACAATAAAAATAATTGAGAGAAGATAAAATGACTTCTTCAAAACAGAGGAGAAATATTGGAAAATAAATTCTAAAATAAAATTATTATTTTATTTGAATTTTATTTGAATTAGAGAAAACATGTATTTTTAAAAATTGCATTTAGTCCAGAAAAATGTTCATCCTATCTCAAATATTAGGTAGGGACAGTGAAAATTGTTTCTGAAAGTTTTAGAAGTTTATTTTTATTTATTAGGATTTTATTCGCGGAAATCGTTAAAAAAAGAGTTCCTGGGTCAGCCCAGTCGCGTCCGCCGCCTTCCTCCGCTCGGGAGGAGTCCTGCACTGAGCCGCCGGAGGAGTCCGAGCCGGACTCCTCATTGCCACCACCCGCGTCGCCCCTCGCGCAAGCCACCGTCGTCCCCTCCCCTCTTTATAAGGAGCCGGACCCCCCCTTCTCCAAGTTGCCGCCTGCCGCCACTGCTGCTGCCGCACCGCCACCCGCCGTCCGCGCCGCCGCCATCGCCTCATCTC